ACTATGACAAATGAAGTTAAGACCAGTTTTAAGACAATAATCATTTACAACGTCAGCTGTGTTACCAGCACAAACAAACTTGTGACTTTTTTGGATACTTTTCACATTCACATTAGCACTTTATTTTGAGGATAATTTGTCAATTCTAGCAATACATGGTATATTTTCTAAACCTATAGGTTTTTTTTTTACTTGTATTTTTTCAGCACGTGTCTTAACTTCTCAGGAGTGCACAGTGTGTACAATAGCTGTTTTTTAAAGTAGAATGTTTGCTGCTTGTTGTTTTTTTTTATAATAAAATAACCCTTGGTACAAATTAAGGCCATAGTTTGCATAGATAACATAAACTGTCCCAACTATGTTTGGATGAAATAAGAATAGAAAGATTTTCTAGATAGTTTTTTTGTTTGTTTGTTTTTTGTTTTTAAAGGACTTGATATTTTTTTGCAAAATCAGAACATTTAAGAATACAATTAATATGTATGTGACCAGACTGTCGATCCAAGGAAAATCTAATTACCATTATCAAGTAAAGTTTTCATTGCAATTAAAAACAGTTTCATTGTTTGTTTGTTTGTTTGTTATTTTTTTTTAAATATATTTTTGCCTTCTTTTGGATCAACAACCCAAAGCAATAGATTTAAAAGGATGAACCTCATGGATTTGAGTCTTAATTTAAACCTAGATTACTGTGTAACTATTTCTCTAGAAACATTAATTCTTTGGCACACATTATTACAAGTAATGAGCTACATGCAGGAAACGTGTGTTCATGGAGGGACAGATGAGGCATAGGGTAACAAATCTTCAAGACAATGTCATCATCCAGAACATGGGGAAGCTAGTAAAGATATTGTAGAAAATATACTCTGCAAAAAGTGGTTGACAAGCTTAGCACAATGCAACATAAGATAATGTACAGTATACCTTATTGAGTGACTATCGACATTGATAATTCATAAGCATGTCACATCTGCAGATGAAGATGGTGGGATTTTTTTTTTTAATGGCTTAGATTATGTGGTTTTTGTTTTTGTAAAATTGAGATATGCATCCTGGTTAGACAGAGCTGTAATGGCAGCTTGGGTTAACACCTGCGTTCATGTTGATCAATCCCTAAAGCGTTGCAATTTTCTGTTATCCTTACTCTGTGTGCAACATACAATACAATATATACAATAACTCCTATACAAGAACTCCAGCTCTTTAACTTGAAATTTATTTACATACACAAGGCTCCTACATGGTTTAACAAGCTATTAACACAGCAGGAAGTGGTAAATGATAAATTAAACAGAATTTTCATTAAAGGAAGTGTAAACATTAGAAAACTCTTTACAGGAAGTATTTAGGGAGGCCATGCAAGTCACATGCATGTTGGCATTACTAGGGCTGTATAAACAAAATGATTTAACTCCTAAATGGCAGAGAATTAAGCAGTGAGACTGCAGGGCCATGATCTATGCACCGAAACAGCTTAATTAAGCTAAAGTTGTTTTGGTGCCTGTAGTATCTCTTTAAACTTTGTAGAACAACCAAACATATTCTGTTCACCACAGTTCACCTATCTATCTATGCATTAAAACCAGTGCCGACAACATTTATAGCTTTCTACTACTAACCCTACACTAAAAAGGAAAACAAAAACACTTCAGGTTCCTGTGGCCTTGGAGGGAAATGCTTGGTCTAAAAAAAGACATACAGAGATGTTAAAAATATCATCTGTATCTCCTTGGTAAACATTCAATGCAATGCAATCACATTTAATTTGACATTCTTACTAGGCATAACAGAGTTTTATAAAAGCATGAGATACTGACTGTATTCCTGAGGAACATTCTTGTGTGTGTAGTAATGGGGTCATCACTCAACACCTCCACCAACATCACTCTAACTGAAAAAAATATTAGTTGCCAAGAGGAAAATTATATGTATTTTATGTATACATTTGTATGGATACATTAATTCTTCAGCATGCATTTGTTGGATAATCTCTATGCACAGTATCATTTTGAGATGTATATTTGCATATTATAATACCAGCAGTTGTAATGTATGATCCCCTGAGCCAAGTGCTACATCTGTCTCAAGAGGAAATTAGCTTAAAAAAAGGAAACTTGAATTACTTTCATATATTTGCTTCTGTCTTCATTATCAAACTCCAACCTCTGATTTATACAGGGAATTTAAATCAAACTAACTGTACGTATGTTATTACATCCCATCAATCATTTTGGCATTTGATGGATATCATAAAAGCAAAATTATGTTTATTACACACAACAATGCAGTTTAATATGTTCTGAATATTTCGTGCAGATAGAAACACATATTCTCATTTAAAGGGACACAATAGTCACCAGAACTACTACAGCATAATGGACAGCGCTGAATTACAAGTCAGTTTTAAAGCTTTTTTTTTTCACTTTTTAAAAAGTGTGTGTGATGGGGGGATCTAGCTAGGAGTGTCCAATAGGTCATTGCCAATTGAAAACAGGAGGTTTTAAAAAGTGTTACAGTAACCCTTTAAGGAAGGTACAAATCCTGCAGTTATTCTGTGTCATTTTTCACATATTTATTTGTCATTAAGAGACCATGTGTGCTATCACTGGTGGAGACCATGAGGTGTGAAGACATACACTTACCCTGGTATATACTCTTTAGTAATCTTTCTAGTGACAAATCATTGAACAGACCAAATCGTTGTAACAGCTAGAGGATTAAGCTTACAGATAAATGTGTTAGTATCGTTACCATGACTACTAACTATTATAAGAACAAGACTTACTACCTATCAAAAATGGAGCAAGGATCCAACTTCATAATTTAAAAAAGATCTAATGTATTGCTAGATTATGGCAGAGTTTGGAGCATTCTAGATTAAAAAAAAAAAAAAAAAGAGTATGATTATTTACATATCATATATCTTCACAGGGAAGCATGCTATATTCTTCCTAAACATTTTCTGAACAAAATGTTCCAGGTGAAACTTAAAAATGTTAGGAGATATATCCATTTCCTCAAAATGTCCCCACTATACAGAAATACTTTTACATATGTACAGGAGTCCAAATGCTACTTTAAAGCAACATGGATTTGTTACGTAAGGTGAAATATTCAGAATGGAAGTACAGTATGCTTTGTATTTTGCTACATGTGATGTGACATTTTTATATTCCATTATTAATCACAATCTACAGCTTAAAACAATTAGATGGGTACTTACAAGGGACATTAGTTTATATTTTGAACACGTTTAATGTATTATTAATATAAGTTATATTATTACATGTTTTTTATCCTCACTGATTATGTTTTGAAGTTAAAGGATTCTATCTACAGTCACATCACCATAGGGACAAGATTTGTGCCGATATTCCTATGTGCCATCATAAATGTATACATATTTGGAGAATACAAGACCGGGTTGAAAATCTTGCCACTTCTGGTTAATTGATTATTGTTTATTTGTTTTTTAAATCATCATTTCATTTTAACCTATAAATATAGTAAAGGATCTATAATAATAATTATATGTATGTGTTTTTTAATCCTCGTACATTTATGTTACATACAGTTGTAATCAAAATTATTCAATCCCCATTGAAAATTATGTAATTTTTAAAAAAAATCTACAGACTTTCAGTTGTTTGCAAACAATGAATGTGACAGGTGTTTTCCCCAATTTTAAACTGAAAATGCTACTTATGACTTTTTCAGTCTGAAAACGATTCAACCTATTCATGACAAACACCTTTAGTACCTAGTAGAGCACCCTTTTGCTGTTTTGACCTTCTGCAAAATGAGATACATAGATACATAGCCTGACACCAGCTTCTAGCGGGCATTCCTGAGGAATCTTAGCCTATTGCTCATGAGCAATGGCCTCCAGTTTAGTAATATTCTGGTATTTTTTGTTTTGCTGCAATAGCCTTCTTCAAATCCCACCAGTGATTATCTATGGGTTTCAAGTCAGGTGACTGTGATAGCCACTGTAGAATTTTCCAGGATTTCTTCTTCAACCAAACCTAGGTGGAATTTGAGATATGCTTGGGATCATTGTCTTGTTGGAAGGTCCAATGACACCCAAACTTCAGCTTCCTCACAGACAGCATGACATATTCTTCTAAAGTACTCCTTTCCTGATATTTTCCTGATACTTCCATGAATCCATCTTGCTTTCCACACACTACATATTTCTGGTGACAGAGGATGCAAAGAAGCCCCAGAGCAGTACTGAATTACACTTAACTGTAGGCAGAGTTTTTTCTTCATTCTTCTTTCTCCAGAAATACAGCTGATCCATTGGGTCAAAAAGTTCCAGTTTTGTTTCATCGCCCTGCAGAAAAAAATCGCCAAACCTCTATGGCTTATTCATATGATTTTGAGCATATTGGAGACAACGTTTCTTGTGCTTTTGAGTCAGTAGTGGTGTATGTCTTGGAGTTCTGGCATGGAAACTTTCTGTGTTTAGTACACGCCTTACTGTGCTCACTGAAGCCTCAGTGCTTGTTGCTATCAAGTCTTGCTGCAGGTCTTTTGCAGCCACTGGAAGGTTTTTCACAAACTTCCTTCTCAGAAATCTGGTTGCAGCCATTGATAGCTTCCCTTTTCTGCCCCATCCAGGTAATGGGTGAGTCCAGTACAGCTGATATTAATAAGTCACATGACTTTCTTTGTCTAAGAATTCTGTAATGTGAGTGCATATCAACAGGAAAGAGAATCTTCTCATATGTTAATATATGGCCAGAAGTTTAGCTAAAACATCTGACGTCATTATAGTCATAACAATGTAGAATAGTGAAAGAGGACAACAAGCTTTGCTGTCTGTCTGTTCTCTGACTTTGTAGACAAAATGCTCTCCCTTCCTAAGTCCAGCAATTACCATCTGCTGTTGAATATTCATTACCTTAAAACATAATTTTTTATGTTATTATATATTTTTAATTTTAAACAGAATTAACCTACAGAAATCAATATTACATTTCCAAACGACTCATAGAAAACATATAATATACATTTATATTAACATCACAGCAAGTCACCAAACAAGATTAAATAAAATTAATATATATTATAAGAGGTGTTTTTCTACTGAGCCTTTTCATTGGGGATGGTTGTAGCTTGGGAATATTCTTATATTGGGTTATTCTTTCTATCTATCTGGGCTATCAAGAGCTGAGGATTGTTTGCCCTCCACTGACCAAGTTTGTTTTCCTTCCTCCCAAACTCACAGACAGGTGTTAGGGCGAACGGAATATATCATCACGAATAGAAGAGAGACTCTGAGGCAACAGACAGAGAGGTGAGAGGATGGTAGGGCAATGGAGGGATGGGGTAAAAGTGGTAGGAGACGATGAAGCAAGAATAACCAATTTTTTGACTATGCACAAGTCTAATTATTATCATACAAGAAATATTATGACAGAAAAACTAAGTGCCATAGCTGAAGAAAGTGAGGTAAAAAAAAACAAAAAAAAAACATTAGAGAGGATGTGTATGAGACAATGATCAAAAGAAAAATGATCAAAATGAATTGAGTGAAAAAGTGAAGAAGATGACTAGAATAAAAGTCTGACCAGAGAAAAGTGAGAGATATAATAAAATAGAGATAATACACAGAATGAGATCATCTCTTTGTCCAGGGCTGTAGATTTTGTGTATAGTTCCTGCACCTATGAAGACTTCATTATCAAAAAGTCTTTATTTTCAGAGAAAGAGGTGATTCTGCTTATCTGAAATGAAGAACGTACTCTGATGCTTCTGAGATGAGCTTCATGTGTTCCATTGTCCTTCCTGTAAATGCTATTTGGAATGACCTCCTTATTGCCATATGAACAGTTTCATGTTATTACCTACCACACTTTCTTTCTTCCCCTTTCCATGTACCCATTCTGCTGTCTGCTGCCTGCGTGCTATGATCACCAGCCTATGGTACCATCAACTATCTATCCCTACTAATGTCTTACACATTATGGCCTCCCCCTACAATGACTGCTTTTCTACAGCCCTAATTAAGCTCCCCCTAAATTGTAGGTGTAATTTCCCATTAATTGTTACAAAACTAATACATTATGGGGATTGATACGCAAACAGATGTGTTTTATAAACAATTGGTTAATTTATTCTTTCACGAGTAGTTTCATGAAAGGTTTGCCATTTAAAAATAATTGCTTTACCTTTAAAATACCTACTAAGCTTACAGATAGAGTGATCATAGCTTCAGGTAGATTAGATAATAACACATGATACATGTTTACATCACAAGAAAATTGTTGATAATTTAATCAGAACAAAACATCACATTTAAGGCAAAACTATGCAAAAATGAATACAAATAATATTCCTATCAAACCTATCCATTGGGACTGTGAAACACATTCTGAATATGTATGGAACAGCAATAGCAATAGGACTCTAAGGAGATGCTGGCCATGAAAATAGTTCTAAATGAAGATGTCAAACAGTATATGAACATATTAAACTATTATTAGCACTTCATTTGTTGCCTCATTTCAGCTGGTTAATGCACCAGTAAATGGCATTGTTTAATCTCACTGTCAAGATGTTGTGGCTGGAGTTTTATTTGAAGAATTGCAAAAAGGCCATTTTCCATTTAGTTTCATGCAGGAAAATATTGTGCGTAGATAGATAGATAGATAAATGATAGATTTGTTGAATAAAGCTGTGGTATAACCACTACAGCTTGGTGTCTTTCAGCACCATCTCCCAATTATATCAAACCGGTTAGAATCAATTTGATTTAAAAAATAATTTTTCATAGCACATTCTCAACAACTCTCTATACTCTATCTTTAAGCCAGTTTGTATACGGGATGTGGTGTGTGTATCTAGGGGATGCGTTTGTGTGTAAGGGATGCATTGTGTGAATCTGTGCTTGTATGTGTAAGGGATGCAAGGTGTGTTTCTGTGTATGTAAAGGATGCGGTGTGTGTGTCTGTAAGGGGTGCGTTGAGTGTGTGTAAGATGTGTGTAAGATGCATTGTGTTTCTGTGTGTGTGTGTGTGTGTGTGTATAAGAGAAGCAGGATGTGTTTGTGTGTGCATAAGGGATGCATCGTGTGTTTTTATATATAAGGCATGCATTGTGTGTGCAAGGGTTGCATTGTGGGTGGGTGTGTGTGTGTGAGGGATACATTGTGTGTGTGTGTGTGTGTGAGGGATGCATTGTGTGTAAGGGTGAGTGTGTGAGTGAAGCATGGTGTGTTTCTGTGTGTGTGTAGGATTCACTGTATGTTTTGGTGTGTGAGTAGGGATGGGTTGTATGTGTGTGTGTGTAGGGATGCATTGTGTGTTTCTGTGTATGTGTAAGGATGCATTGTGTATGTGTGTAGTCTGACATAGAGGGTCTGTGGGGTTAGATAGGGGCTAAGAGGAAACAGCTCTTTTTGTTATTATATTTATTTTGTTAATATTTTTTTGTGTATTTTTTCTCTTCTCTTTCACCCCTTCCTTAGCCTCTCTGTGTACCTTACACTCTTCCTGTCCCTTAGTGGTCTCCTCTTCTCCCCTTGTCACTTAGTGGTCTCCCATCCTGTCCCTGAGAACTCTCCCCTTTCCTCCTGTCCCTCAGTGTTCTCCCATCCCCTCCTGTCCCTTAGTGCTCTACACTGACCCTTAACAATCTTCCCTGTCCCCCTGTACCTTAGTGCTTTCCACTTCCCTCCTGTACCTTAGTAAGCTCCCCTCCCCTCTTGTCCCTTAGTGCTTTCCCCTGCCCCCATTTCCCTTAGTGCTCCCCTCTGCCACCCTTTCCCTTAGTATTCCCCCTCCCCTGTCCCTTAGTACAGTGTTCCCCAACCCAGTCCTCATGAACCACCAACATTTCAGGTTTTGTCAGTACCTCCATTGGCATAAAATAGGGAAATATATAAATCCTGGAATGTTGGTGGTCCACGAGGACTGGGTTGGGGAACACTGCATTAGTGGTCTCTCCTCTCCCCCCCACTCTCCCTGGTGGTCTCTCTCCCCCCTCCTTTCCCCTGGGGGTCTTTCCCCCTCCCTTCTCCCCTGGTTGTCTCTCTCTCCTGGTGGTCTCTCTCCCTCCCCTCTCCCATGGTGATCTCTCTCCCCCTCCCTCTTCTGGTGGTCTCCCCTCTCCCCTCGTGGTCTCTCTATCCCCCCTCCCCTGATGGTCTCTCCCTCCCCCATCCTTGGTGGTCTTTCTCTATCCCCTGTCCCCTGGTGGTCTTTCCCACCTCCCTCCCCTGGTGGTCTCTTCCCCCGCCCCCAGGTGGACTATCTCCTGGTGTCTCTCTCCCCCTCCTCCCTGGTGGTCTCTGTCCCCCTCCCACTCCTGGTGGTCTCTCTCTCCCCCTCAAATGGTGGTCTCTCTCTCCCCCCTCCCATTTGGCAAAAACATATAAGGAAAGCATTGAACAGTAAAAAAGTGTTGTCTCCAAGCATTATAAATGGCTGACTCCAAGCATTATAATCACTACAGCCATCATAATGTTGGTTATGATGCCAGGCAGGGCCTGATTAAGAGCCCATTGGGCCTGGTGCTGACACTTACGATGGGCCTAACTAAAAAATCTTATTGACAGAAAACACTAAACCAGGTGGTGCCGGAAAGAAACTTACAGGATGCATTTATTTGTTGGCGCTTTATAAATAAGAATACACTCACCATATCTATTGCTTTAATTTATCAACCAAATCTATGAATGCATACCCTCCAACATTGGCATCCTGCAAAGTGGGATGTTGAAGGGCCGGGTAAAAGGAGGATGGCCAGTGATACAAATCACTTCACGGTCACCGCCCATAGGGGCAGACCCTCCCAGAGGGGGGGCGGATCTGCCTGAAAAATTGGAAGGTCTGCCTGCTGTGAATGCATGCCAGGCTGACAGGTAATCCAACAAAGGGTGGACTAGGCTGACAGAGCTTTTTCAGCACCCTGTACTTGCCGTGAACACACCTAATGAAGCGCTCACTTACGCTTTCTGAGGACAGTTCCCTGTTGCCCCCGGCACTACATGTCCCCTCCTCTCCTTCCCTTCTTACTAGCCTGCAGAAGCTTCAGGTATGACGTCTGTATGGGACAGAAAAAAAGCTGGATGAGTATAGCAGAAAGTGGACCAGCCACACTGCAGAGAGACCGAAGCGCATTAAGCTTTACCTTAACCAATTTATAGTCAACTGCCACACAAGTTTTGACCCCCCACATAGCTCCTAAGCCCCCATTCTTAATTTGCACAAAGCACGAGCATGTGGAGAGTAGTATATAAAAAAAAAATAGTTTTTTTATTTTTCTAATCAATGAACATATTATATGGGCATGGCCTGGAGCTACAGCTCCATTTACACCCATGTTAATCCGGCCCTGATGCCAGGAATATCCTGGCCCAGTTACAGAGTAATGGGCTAAATTGTTTAGCAGGCTCTGGCAGGCTCTGATGTTCCCTGGTGTTCCAATGAAGCATGTCCAGCTTTATTGTCAGCTGACCAGTCTAAGCCAATGACTGACATTCAGTGTAATGAACGATGCACAGAATTGACAGTAACCAGCCCGGAACGCTAGTTCGGACTGGCTGATGACACACCTTTGATACTAAGGGGTTAATTTCTGTATATGCAGCATTACAGACTTCAGACACCATGACCACTTCAAATCACTGAACTGGTCAGTGTCCTTGGACTAATCTTTTCAGTAACACTCCAGACTTCTTTGATAAAAGTCAAACATAACATAGCATGTCAAAAAGAAAACACAATGATTACTCTGCTCTACGGATTGGTATATTTTCAGGGAAAAGATTCATCTGACAATACTTCACGATTTCTTTCTATAAAAGCCTTGGGCACATGAGCAGTAAAAATGTGATTAAACATACGCGGCCTCTAATTTCCATTCACTTGCACAAATGTTAATTATTAATTCAAAGCAATGATTGCAAATACAGTGTCATGGCTACGATGCAAAAACACAGGTCTAGAACCATTCCGTTGTTGTTTACATGTATGCATGCTATATTATACACTCTTACAAGCCTATTTAGTTTCTGTAGGTTTCAGTGGGAGACCAAGCACTGGCTCATTGTTCTCAGCATGTTTTATGTTTTAAGAACAAAAATAAAGATGGACTAAGTATCTGCTAAAACCTGCAATGAATGAAATTTTTAGGTAAATGCATTTTATTTAAATGCATGCCTTTTTGAATGCATTGTCTAAATAATGCAGACAGATAGTTGACTGTCTTATCCTTTTATTGTTGTTTAAACGAACACTCTTGGCACAATAACAACTTAATTTTAACAAAGTTAGCATATAGCCAGGACTGTTCCTTTAAACATCCATAAGGAATTGTCAGTTGTATAATAAGTATGACCTCACTGTGATTTCCAGTCCCCTTGTTTGTTTAGTTGCAAAACAGTTACAATTAAATAGTTATAGCAAGATGTTCATACAGCAGCCATTCACCCTCATTCATTATGCATACTGTACATTCTCCACTTAGCACATGAATGAGCACAACAGACAATCAGGGAAAGTAGTCTGAAACCTTCCATTTCATAAACAGCTATTTTTGGAAAGCTACAAAATTGAAAGAATAATGATATAGTACTGAAAGCCCTCCTAACCTTTCTGTCTACAGCAAAATGTAAGGCAGTGCATTTCTTAAACTTGCTGAAAGAAAAAAAGCAGCGAAAGGTCATTCTTAACAAAAATATTCCCTTACCTTACAAATGAATGTCAAAAGTGTGTCTGTTTAATGATTACAACTGGATTTGTTCTTCATGCCTTGTTCCTGATGTTACAAAAAGGACTTACAGGTGAATTGATCCAATGGTAAGATAGAATTGTTCACTATTTTCACATTTACCAATATGACAAAATCTATATGGCGGGTAACCCCTACGCGAAAACAATGTGAACGAAGAAAAAGTGGTATAGGTGGGTTCACTAAACATTTATTATCACTCATTGATTAAAATCATAAATATGCTTAAATCTAATAAGTATCACATTCCTAAATGAAAGTCCTGCCACCTAGGCTAAGTATAGATTAAATAAAATTTAAAGAAAAAAGGCGGAAATCATAATCCATCAATAATAAAAAAGGAAGCACAGGTGTATACAACTATAGGTGGGACAATGAACCATATAAACAGATGATTGAATAATTGAACTTTACATGTGACCCCAAGGGAAGACTAAAGAGACATTTAAAAGCAGAAGATTCAGAGGATCAGACTACAGCTGACTGATGAAGCTCCAGACGTAGTGAAACATGTTTCGACCGTCAGGACTTTAAATTTTACTAGTATAATTTTTAGTTGTTTATTTTATTATTTATTTTAAATATTTCTTAAATAATAAATATATTAGCACTTTAATAAATCCACTGAAGCCTTAGGAATCTTCATTGGGGGAAGTGCCATCCCCCCTATATTGGCAAAAAGCCTGTTACCCTAATAGCCAGGACCTTAAGGCTCTGAAAAAGGTGAGCTCAATATATATTTTTTATCAATTTATGTTATTTTAACAACTATACTACACATTGAATGCTTCTACCATTTCTATCTTTTCTGAGGGAATGGAAAATAGTGGTGGGATGCTGCTCTAAAAAGCATTTAAGCCCTGTTTACTGAGCCGATATTATAGACTCTCTGAAATGTGAGCAATCCATATGCTACCTAATTTAATTATCACAGTGTATTATCATCTACACTATATTCTATTTTCTATATTTTCTGTATATATCCACTTAACGTGCACGGTTCGATCAACCTCGAGGGGCAACCCATAAAATAAGTAATCTTTTGCAGCAGTAGGCAGTCTTTTGTCAGCCATGTCCAAAGTAAAGTTTTGAAGTCCCTTAGGGTGCCAGGCCTATTTGTGCCTCTTGGCTAGTCTTATTGGACCTCGCTGTTCCCTGGTGGACCGGTGGTTGCAGTTCGCAGTTTGCACCTTCTGGGGTTGCAGGCCACTCGTAATGAGAGTGGGTTAGCTGTCCTGTCCACACCCACTAAAGGTGTTGGCTACAAGCTCACAGAGAAGCACTCTGGGCCAGCTGAGGAAATCCTCTGATTTCCCCAAATGGCCACGCGTGCCATGCAAAGGTGCCATGCTATCTGGTGATCTACTACATAAAGTACAGCTCTTTCATGAAAGGTGAAATCAAGTAAAAATGCAATCCACGAAAACAATAGCCAAATATATGCTATGATGACTAAAAACTTATCGTCCTTACCGCATTCAATCTACATCATAGCGGTTCATCTCAATTTAAAGACTAAAAAAAGGATAGTTGCAACTCCCAAAATCGTTTATTAACCACCAAAAGAGTTCTGACAAAAGAGAGAAAATACTAAAAGGGCTAGTTTAGACAATAAAAGAAAAGTTTTGCAAAACGACTTCTTTATCTTATAAATCATGCTAAATCCCAACATGTGTTTCACATTTCACTCATTAGGAGGTATAAACTGAGGACAGCCACAAGGTATTTAAATAAACGCAATGATATCTCAATGGAGAAACCCATTATAAAAACAAGTTATTCATTTGCTGAGAGCGTCAGCTGAGTACTCTCAACCAATGAATGACCTACTGTGCAAATAATAGCACAAAATTGACATTAGCCAACCTGGAACTCGCATTCCGGCCTTGTTAGTGATGCTGCTGGAGGTGGAGTTAAACGCAGCATATGCAGACTTCAAAACACTAAAATTATCATGGTCCTTGGAATAACATTTTAAGTAAAATGGCATGATAACTCCTATTGCTGAAATTCTGAAACATCTTACACACATCTTGTTAAATTTCTGATCCACTTTAGTTTCATTAGAATAGAACAAAATATAAGTGGAGCTCTGGATTACCTGTATAGACAGTAATATATTGAAGATGAATACAAATATTATCAAGATAAAAATCTGTAAGTAGATAGTGATAAATCTAAGTGTAGACGGTA